AAAAACCACAATTTACAACAAGGCAATTATTGTTCCCCGACGTTAAAGACTCTCCAACATCAGTAAAAGGGACCTCACCTGAGGCCTAACTGCAAATGTTCCCTTTCTCCTGCCTCCCTAATCTATTACCAATGGACTTCATGTGACTCCTTATGGTCCTCCTTCAGTTATATAGTGTATAAGATAAGGTGCTAAACTGCCATTCCCTGGAGTATTTCTCAATCTGTTGAGATATTACTTCCCTGCAATTGTAGACAGTTTAACAAACTCACCCAAAATTCTCCACAGGTTTGATTTTTTTTTTATGTTGACAACAACAGTATTAAAGGTAGGAAATAGTGCCCACCTCAATTAAATCATTCTATTTTATATTCTTTGAATAAAATTAAATTTCATTTCTGACTACTTCTTTTTTTAAAAACCATTCCCCCCCAAAAAATCAAAATAATCAGAATTTTGTGCCTTTATTATAAGGCATGCCAACAGTTAATTCAGGAATGCAATAAGAAGCATATCTCTGGGTTCAGGAATGGATTTCAAGATATTTAATTTTGCTTCCTTCTCCAAAATTCCATTCCATCCCTTACATTTCCTATGGATGTCTATCTTGTCTAACTCGAAGAGTTGTGTATATTGTACTTAATGGCTTCCAGCTGCTATATGGAACGAGTTAACAGGTATTAAGACTACCACCCACTTTAAATATCATTAGATCTACACTTTGTAACACATACCTAAAATATAAGGGAAAGCAGACCTTGAAAAAAAAACTATCATTCAATCATGAGTCATCGTTCTCTCAAATGTAAGCTATCTTTCTTTTTGTATGGAAACATACCAAAGGAAGAAAGAAATGGCGTGTGTTAGTAACATCTGTCTGCATTACTCTAGGTGGATAATTCTCTAGCAAATGGGGAAGGGATGTATGAAACTCATACAGATTAACTAAGCATGCTAAAGGAAGGAACTAACGAAGTCCTCTATTTAGAAACAGATTTTATTTTCCTTGCCCTCTCACTTGTTCTATTTGATTTAGAACAAAAATATCAAGATAATGGAAGTAAATATTACTCCCATTCATAAACTAAAAGATTATTTTAAAAGAAATAATACTTTAAAAAATTAATCTTTTAGGGCAAACATTTTCAACCTAAAATTATCTCAGATGAGCAACTCACAGGTTTCTGAAGTCAATTGTCTAAAATCTATGGCAATTTAAATCTAATCTTCACTCATAAGTTTATACATTAAATGTGGCTATAACAACATTTTAAAGTTATTTTTTAAAGTTGAGGTGAAATTCAAATAACATATAAATCATTTAAAGTGTACGATCAGAGGCATTCAGCGCATTCACAATTCTGTGCAACCGTCACCTCCTCTGGTTTCAAGATGGATTCATCAGCCCATAATAATATCCTGTACCTGTTAAGTAATCACTCCCCAAGCCACCATCATCCCCACTGCTGGCAACCACTGAGCTGCCTTCTGTCTGTATGGAGTCCGGATATTTCACATAGAATGGTGAAGTATTACCAGTATGTATTTCATTGCAACTTGTAATTAATAACACTTCATTTATTTTAAACATGAAATACCTGGTATCCATAACAACTCAGCTTCACCCAAATAAAGAATTTGAATTCATATACTAGAATTTATTTTGCATTTTAATGCCATTTCTACTATATACTGCACTACTATCTGGAGGACATTCCTTTTAAGCAATGCTTCTAAAATACCAAAGGATGTGACAATAAAATATGAAGGGTAAACACTCAAAGAAAAATCTCTATAGACTTTTAAAAACTTTCTGTAAATTAGAGTTTCTTATGAAACATTAAAGGTGCATACCTATTCTTCAGTTACTTATTCCCTTTAAATGGGCATATAAGATGGATATGTACAACATTTACATAGTCATCACTAAAAATGGAGTCAAATATATTAAAACAAAGTTATAGAATCACTGTAACTATCAGTAAACCAGACCCTAAAGTAAAATTACAGTAAAGTAAAATTACTGTAAAAAAGAATCAGTGTATTCCTTTAGAATTTCTCACTTTTAAAAGAATTGAAGGTTATATTTTATCTTAACTCTATCAAAATAACTAGCCAAAAACTTCAAATTACTTTTAAAGTATTAAGAGAATTATAAAAGTAATTATCTGAAGAAGGAATCTGCTAACTTACGGAAGAGCTCTAATTTTTAGAAAAATCAAAATATGGGAGTACCGATCATGTAAAGGCTAACGAACAGCCCAGGTGTCGTAAACACAAACTCACACTCAATCTCGGTAAGTGCACTAGGAGCACTTTGGTAGTGATGGCCTAGAATAATCACAAGCAACAGCACAATTCAAGCATGGAGAGGAAATATACTACATAATTAAAAAAAATTATCAACAACCTTGAGGATGAACGTTTAAACACCAATTTGCATTATAATTATATTTTCCATTTGAGGAATTGACATATTGTAGGAAGGTTGGTTCATATACTCTACAAATTATCTTTGTTCTCAGGCATTAGCATATCATGATTTTGTTAAGTCATGGGCCCAGGTAAAATGTCATCAACAGTGAAAACCCCCAAAGATAAAATAGAAGGATACAGAAATTGTAATGTTGCCTTGTGACTTCCTAGGGGTGTTCCCAAAAGGTGATACATGGGAGTGCACATTTCCCCAACCTCTGCAGCACTACAGCAAACCCGACTGTCTCCAGTTGGCAGGAATAGGGTTAAACACAAAGGGAAATACTACATCCAAAGGGTATCTTGCTTATGTCTTCCTGCATGCAAGGAATAAATATAAAATTAAGTTTCATGAGGATAAAATTCACGTTTCTCTTGATGACTACTGTATTCCTAGCTGTTAGTATCGTGAATGAACTGGGGTTAAACCTTAACATATATTTCTTAAATAGATCATTAGAGTTAAATTTGGTAAAAACATTTCTGAGGAAATTTTGGGCAACAAATTTCAAGAGCTTAAAATTTTCTTTTCTTTTCTTATTCTAATTTTACTTCTGGAAAGTTATCCTGACAAAAGAACTTTGTCCTAACAAAATATGCAAGCTCCTTTACATTAAAGGATTTCCATGGCATCGTTCTTTATAATAACGTAAATTAGAAACAAGCAAGATATCCTATTTTAACAAATTAAGTTAAAATGGAGTATTAAACAGCTATTAAAATAATTTTAAGCTGAATTTTCTTAAAAGTTTACAGGAAAAAGTGCATAATATATTAGTAAACTAAAAACAGATTTCCAAATCATGAGGAAAAATTGTGGAATCTGAAATTTGTCAAAATGCCTGCATGCGCTCCTCCTCACCCTTCTCTCCTCTCCAACCTGTAATAGGGTCTTGGGATTTTAAAAGAAGTAACAAAGTTGTACTCATCCTGGAAGTCTAACTTCCACTCCTTCCTCCTCCAGAAACAGCACCAACTACATACACACACACACACACACACACACACATTTATTTATATACGGACATCATCCAGGTACCTAAGACATAACAACAACAAAAAAACCCCACAAACTAAATAGAGCCATAAAAAAAAAACAGCTAACATTTATTACCACCCTAAAATGGTGGACAACAAAGACATATACATTTGTAACCATAAATGACAATATCTCTACTGTCAACATATGTAAGAGAATAAGTAGGAAGATGCTACTTATTGTGGAAAAATAAAAAAGACCATTGTCCTCAAATGAAAAGTTTACTCTGTTTATGAAAGAGAAAGGAAAAGAAAATAATAAAGAGAAGAAATTCATTTTAGTAAGACATTTACAATCTTCTAACAGAATCTCAATTTTTCTTGCATTTTTTTGTAACTTAACCTTTTTGATCAAAATAGTCCCAGAATGCACAATGTCTAGTGACTTTTTCAAAAAATATTAATATGTTAATTGTCTCCATACCCCATATCTCCTTTAAGTCAATGAAAATTCAGTATAAATCAAATATTTCCCCTTTCCCCCCAATTAAAGGATATATTTTATACCTTATATAATAAAGATTTTTATTGCTCTTAAAGTATCAGCCCAAAATATAGTTTTTAATTATAATTTTTATCCAAAATTCAATGTCTGAATTTTGAAAATCTAAACAGTTCTTAATAGCCATAAAGTTTCAAGTTTAATAATTTATTGGCATTATTGTCAATGTTAACCCATATGTTTCTAAAACATGACTGGATAAATTTTAACATTTTTAAATGGTTTAAAAGTAAAAGAAAACAACAAATTAACAAAAAGCAAGAGCTTATATATGCAGAGCTCTTCTAATATGAAAATAAAATGCATAATTGAACTTTTAACCATTTCATTCAAATTAGAGATCTTTTAATATGAAATCATCTGGTGTACTCAGTAGTCAATTATCTATTTACCCATGTACTAAGTTTTGTCTGTTGACAAAAGCATCTCAAGTTTCACTACATTTCAGAGCAATATTCATAACTCACCTAAAATTTCCTTATGGTTAAACAACAGGGAAAATACATAAATATTCACTTCTATTTCAAGTATACCATCTTTCTACAGTGCAGAATTTTTATTTCCCTCAAAAGTTTATAACACATTATAGTCACTTTAGGGTACTGAGCAAAAATCATAAGCTTGAATTTTAGAATAATATTACTAAAGTAAAAAAGTTTTGGGTATCTTCACAAATTCTATTGCTCATTAAATTCCCAAAGACCTAACGCTAATAAAGAAAGCACTATGGTAAATAATTAAAATAGAATTTCTTTTTTGTTGTTCAATCCCTCCCCTCTCCCCCCATACACAGCCTAACTGAATTTCAATTAATTAATTCCCCCCTTGCTCACTCAGTTTACTAAGAATGAGAAAGCTGATGGTTAAAAAAGCACAGTTATATTCTAAAAAGAACTTGGTTTACAAAAAGTTAAAAAATAGCAACATATGATAAAAAAAACTACTTGATACTCCAAAAAGAGAAGTTAATTCAGTGATCACGTACTGCAAGCTGTCCCGATAAGAACTGTGGGGCGTCTCTCAGCCTGCCAGGACTCATGGGAGAGGTGACGGAAATAGAAGGACGATCCATTTTCTGAGATTCGAATGAACTAGAACCTGAAATGGTAATTATAATAAAGAGTAATAACAACAGTCTTCATTAGTATCTAATAATTTTCACCATGTAGCTCTTAGATTTTTTTAAATGTCCACAGAATGTCATTATATAGACCATTTCCTTAGCCACAATGTTCCAAATACACTTAGAGGACTTTACTGAAGCAGATGTGAAGCTGAGGGATTTTCTTAGTACCGAGGGTGAACCATTTTCTGTGCCAGTAAGAGTACAGATAGACATCTACTTCAGGACTTATATTACTCTTTTAATGTATACTAAACTCATATCTTACAAGAATGTAAAGAAAATTTGAAAATAAAAGATCAGGTATGAAAAAAACAAAACCTAAATCAATAAGGCAATTTGAAGATGCTCTAAACATGCAATACAAAAAACACAGTACTATAATGTGAATCATAAAAAGGTTTGCAGAAAGTGGTGTTTTTAACTGTATCTGGAAGACTAAAATAATTAGATGGGCTGAAAGGAAGTCAGGGACTATGAAAAAGAATATCAGAAAAAGCAGAAACCACAGTACTCAGAAATGATGTGCATGAATTTATTTGTACGGCGGGAAGGGAAAAATTGGAAAGTGAACAAAAATAGGACTAATGGGATAGTAGGGGCATTTCAGTGCCTGGAATTCTGGATTACACACTTTGGCACTAATAAAATGTCCATCTTAAACTCTTAAATATAAGGTAATAAAAATTGCACTTGAGGAAAGTGACTTTACCACTTACCCAAAGTGTAGGTTAAATTGAGTGACAAGGATAACAGTCAGGAACAAGTGGAATTCAAAAATAAGAATAGAAAAGATTGCAAAAGTAAAATAGAAATAATTCAGGTGATTTCATAAAATAAGAAAATGAGGACTCAAACTAATTAGATATGTGATATAAAGGAAGGAGAGAGGATAATACTAAGACCTCAAGTCTGTATCTAGATATGGGGTCAAGATTAAGTCCCCTATGTTTCTGTCTTGTTCTCTGCATGGGCCCAGCCTGATAGTCCCTGAGAGACAACACTGCAGAAGTCCTGTGTTTAAGGGAATTGGTGGAAAGTTAATTTGGAACACAGAAATGGTGTGACACCTGAGACATCCAAGGAGAGATATACAACAGGTAACTGAATGTATGGATGGAAGTGAATGTAAAGTAGACATCGGTGTTAGAAATTAAACTGTAAAGTGTCTCCCTAATTGGAGGCACATGCAGATAAAATTCACCTCTACAGAGAGTGCAGATAAAATGATGGGGAAACTCCAAGCCTTGGGATCAGAAGCAACAGTGATACCTTTTATAATATTGAGAAGTGAAAAGAATCCTGACTTTACAGTAGAAAATAAGCTCAGCTTTCCACAGGAACAAGAAGACACTTAATAGTGTACTTTTTAAATATACAGGCATGAAAATACAATGGTAGATAATTTTATATGTAAGCTTAGGAGTCATATGACAATAAAACCGTATGAAGAAAAGAACCAAGGAACTAAAGACAGAGGGTTAAGAATTGCACCTTGGAGAAACCTATTTCTCTGGATTTATAGAATAAAAGATTAAATCTAATTTGAGAAAGGACCCATCTCCTCAGGAACAATGTTGGAATTGTTCCATACTGCTCACACAATATCTGAGTGATGTAACAAATAAATAATTGTTTTAGGAACTCAATAAAATAGGAGCAATGATAATGATAATATCATTATATATAATTATTATCATTATACCAATATTTCTTTGTTTTGTTATAGTTTCATGTAATCATATTACTTTGGATAAAATAATTTGGCACTTAGCCAAAGGTTTTAAATCAAGTAAGTCATATGATCATATTTTAAAGAATAGAGCTACGACATTCCAAAGGGATTTCACCTATCTGATAATTATTTTAGTTTTATACTTATAATTGTAATATAAAATTAAAAATAGATCTATTTTGATAGGACATTCTCAATTATTGTGCATATAGAGAATCTGACCACTTCTCAAACCTCAGTGCTACCAACATGGCCTAAATCACCATCATTTTGCCACTGAAATACTAAAATAGTCCTCTCACTAGTTCCTCTGCTTTCACTCTTAACTCCATTTAACATATTTTCAACATCGTAGCCGGATTTTAAAACAGAAATCTCATCAAAGCCATCCTATGTAGTTTTCAATTTCTCTCAGAAAAGCCAAGGCCTCTACAATGGCTTACAGAGTCTGCAGTTTTGCTCCCCGCCACTCTTCTGCACCCTCTCCTACCACCCTTCCTTCCACCCTTCCTACCACCCTTCCTACCATTCTTCCCCTTGCTCACTCTGGTGCAGCCAAATTGGCCCTCCTCCTTTCCTTTAAATGCATCTTGGGCTTTCTCACCTCGGTAATATTGCATGTCTGGTTCCTGGACCTGGAAAGCGTTGCCCCCAGACAGCCAATCTTTCAAGTCTTTGTCCAGATCCTTCCTTCTCAATGTGGTCTCTACCCTGAACACTATTTCAAATTGCAACCCTTCTCTCTTCTTTCACAATATCCCTTATTGTGCTCTCTATCAATAAAGAAATTTAGCTCATTAGAAAGAAAATCACTAGTTTAACACCTAAAATAGTACTCAAACACAAGAAAAACTACTTATGTGTTTAGCATTATTTAAAATAAATGTATACAATATGTCTATTGTTCCACTACAAGTCTGATGTTAAATCAGAATATTCTCATTTTCTAAAAATATAAATAAGAGTATATATAATTACTTACTAGATTGTCCCAAGCATTGCCCATTTACTAAGGGTTAAGTTACACAGTAGTAAATTTTAAAATTAGGGAAAATTTTGGCGGGAGCAGAGGGAAATTTTGGGAGTGACAGTATGTTCATTATTTTTTATTGTGATGGTTTCACACATATGTCAAAATGTATCTAATTGTGCATTTTCATTATGTACAGTTTATTGTAATATACCCTAATAAAGCTATGCAAAAATACATAGTAGTTAAGACAGCATGGTTGAAAAAACCTGTCTTAAAAGTATTATAGACTATTGTACTTTTTCCCATGACATAAAATAATAATAATTTTTCCATCTATATATGATTATATACTTGATAACAAGATCACTGTATTTCCTACTTCATATTAGTAGATGAAATAATTCATTTAACCCCTGATGAGCGACATTATTAACAGCATTTGCTTCCACAGTAAATGAAACTCACTAGATTCCAGCTGTGCATGTGTGCTGTCGGGTATTCTCGGAATATCTCTGAAAGGACAGAAAAAGAAAAGGCATTGCTGAAATACTGCAACTGCTGTTCTGATCACTGTCAACCTATATTAAAGCAGGACAGTATAAAATGAACAAAATTGTGTATAATAGCAGCATTATGTAAACAAGAAAAAAAACAATCCGTTGTCCTCTATTTCCAAGAAAAGTATTCTTGATTAACACCAAATACTTAAAAAAAATTATAAAACATTTATATATACTTATAGCAGATTTGTCAAAACATATACTTTACATTCTATATGTCTCACTACACGATCGTCCATTCTAAAAGATTTCTGCATTCAACAATTTATACACACACATTGTAATTCTATTTCACTCCTTTCACTTGCTATTGTTCTAAATCATAATGTTAAAATGCAAATGAAATATCACCAAAACAAACATTAAAATTTTCCCATTCTGATTGAAATTTTTAAATGTAATAACTCCAGAGAGAAAAATGCAAACACATTTCTTACTAGGACTTACAGAATTCCTTCGTATTTATACCAAAAATATGTACATTTTGTTTGAGATCTGCCAAAAGGAGTACATATTGATGGATAAGATCATTCAGAAAATTATATAAAAGAATATTTAAGACATTAAACAAAAATGTTTACTGTCTTTTAATATGAAGAAATACATCTGATTAATACACTAAGCTGATACAGTAGATCTACCATAATACAAAACTTTGAAAAGAAAAAATGAAGAACAGATACAATTACATGTGGCAAATTCATTACTTTGGAAAGAAACATTTTAAAAACCAAGTTACCAACAGTAGTTATTTTATACATCATAAAAAGAGAATGTAGTGATATAGTTCGACCATTTCCTAAATGAGTGTAAACTGGGCATTATACTCTACAATTAAAACTAATTTCTATTGCCTCCACCCTAGAATGCTCTTACTACAAACATATATTCAATAAATCACTGTCAGTTTATAGTATTCGATTGCTTCTTCTGATTATATCTTTTACATTGGCTTAGAATATAGGCTTCTATAAAAGAAATACTACTCTTTACTGAGTAATTTTCATAATATAGGTACAAAGGACTATAATACCCACTTTTGGGAATTGTCAACTTAATGTATAGCTAAAAAATTATAAAAACAAGAGTATTTGGTATTTGCTTATTTTTTAAATGTTTTTTAAAGATATTATGTTTTTCCTTAAATTATTCCCTCTATCTGGGAACAATATGTTCTTAGGCCCTGTCTTTCTTATGTTAAAATCTCTATTTGGAAAAAATAGATAAAATCCATAGAATATAGTGGATCTTCATTTTTATAATATAAAGGACCACGGTTAATGAAAACTCCTTTAACAATAACTGTTACTATGGTTACAATGGCATTAGCTCTTCTACTAATGGCATTAACCATCTACTAAGCTACTAAGAAAACAAAAATAATAAATAGCTAAATATCTCTTTTTTTGTGTGTAATTAACTATATAATCAGACAAAGAGGTGCCATGCTTTTTGGTGAGGTGTTTTTAGCAAAAAAAAAAAAAAAAAAAAAAGTCCTCAAAAAATAAAGCAAATGAGACATTTTGGATTGCGCACCACAAACTGTTTAATGGTAGTCAACGCCATACATGTGAAAAGTGTGCAAACCGACTCACCCAATAGGCCTTGAAACAACGAGCTCCACTTGTGGTTCAGGTTTGGATTCCAGAATGATGTTATATACTTCTTCAAAGGTGGCTCCTTGCAATAGCCTTCCATTCCATTCCAACACTTCATCACCTATTGTGCGTATCAGTAATGATAATCTTAGAAAGGAAATCTAATGCCATAAAATGCACTAGAAACAAAGCAATCTTAAACTGCAATGAACTCCGTAGAATGAAATCATCACTATAAAATACCGAGGACAGCTCCAGTGACACAAAATTTGATGATAAGGAGGATTAGTATATTTCACCCAAAAAGGAAAGAGTCAGAAAAAAAAATAACATAAAAGTTATCTCTGTGATTTCCAGGATTTTCTCAGTGGTGTCTTGTCCATGAATAGTTGTTAGTTCTTCTTGTGAAGAGGAGCAAAGTCAGGAGCAGCCTATGTCAACATCTCGGTGACATAGATATTCTAATTCTAATTAAAATTCTAATTCTAGAAACTATCAAGATCAGGCACTGCTTTGTAGATTTCCTTACTCTGCATTCTACTTTTTTCAAAATACATTTGGCTGAGCACCTTGTCTAAACTGTCTTGTATATTTAGTGTCTTATTGAATCCTCACCAAGGCACCCAAGGATCTCTCCTACCCATTACCAAAAAGATAAGGAGGGACACATTTTAGGAAATATGTGTTTATCCATGAAGTTTGTTTTCTAAATGATGTTGGAATTTTTCAAAAGAAGAGCAAAGGCTTATAGAAAACAAAATGGGTTAATACTAGATACAGAGTAGGAATACCCATAAAAAATTCAGTAACTATAAAAATCTTTTTATCTGATGTGATTCAAGAAATAATAGTACAAGTTTCCATTAATGAATAAATTTAATTGGAGTGAAATGATGTTTCTGTTACTAGTCAAATCACTTCTAAATGAGGAAAACTTTTTCATAAGTACTTGAGCTTAACAGTTTAAACATAAATAACCAAAGATGGAAACCTACCTGGTCTAAGATGTCCTACAGTATCAGCCAAACTTCCTTTTTTTACTTTGGTTATAAATGCACAGAGCCGACCTGATTCAGTCATCTTACCTCCTACAACCTGTTTAAAAGAGGAAACTTTTAAGAGACATATTGTTCCAATGAACATGGTTGAAGATTCAAGTAAAAAATAACTAGACAAGTTATAGCTTTTAAAGCTATAATTTATTATACTAAAAATATTTTAAAGTAATGTAGTGTTGTTATTAAGAACTAAGCATATGTCCCTATAGTAAGCTTTTAAATATTCCAAATGTTTTACAATTAAATCCATTATTTTTGAAAATGTTGAATACCTTAGAAATAATGATTAAACTTTCTTTATTACAGAATTCTTTTGTCATTACTTAAAACATGTTATTTCAGTACTATGTAATTTACATATCTACTTATAGATTTCAAATATCACAGTAATATAAATGCTTGTTACTTTTATTATTATGACATTCTGCCCAATTTCATTAGTAATCTTCTAGGTACATTGATAACATGCATAATGATTATATATATTTTTCCTGAGAAAAATCACAAAATTTACTTCATTTCATCAGCTTTAATGCAAACTTCTGACCATTAGCATCCCAATGTATTCATTTTATGTTTCTATTAATGTACTGGTTGAGGCAAAAGTAGGTTTACTGTTGTTCGCATGGGAAATAATACAATAATTAAAATAATAATACAAGAATGAACTCTTGTATTTTGTGTAATCACAACTGTAAACTTTTGCCCTGCCCCCCATATATCTTTCAGGAAAAATAAATAAATAAATATTACCAATAATGCTGTGGAACCACAGATGTACCTGCAACAGTCGCCTCTTAGAAAATTAATGCTTTGTCATCAACTGCCATTCAATCAATGGCAGCTTTATAGCAAGCTACACAAATAATAGTAACTAATTCATTGACTAAAATAGTTTTTTTCCTCTTATAAATTGAGTGAAAGATATCCAAATTTAAAAAAATGACCTATCTTATTCCATGTACTTATTTCTAAACTGCGATGAATTAAACTCAATTGTAGTTCAATTAATACTAGTTACTCCAAAATTTATTCTGAAATTAAATGTATAGATATTTTGGACTTCTATCCCTATGTTAATTTTTTAAAACATTTTTATTTTTGACTTGGTAAAGTTAATAGTAATAATATTACTGACTACAATTATTATTGAAGTCATATACTGTGTCAGGCACTGTATTAAATGTTTATATATTGCTTTATTTAATCTTATCATAACAAGTCAGTAAGTGTTATTATCTCCACTGCACGAACGAGCAGTCTGAGGCTAAGAGAAGTCTGGCTGACCAATGCATGTACCTAGTAATTGCTGTAACTAGAACTCAAGCCAAGACTTCCTAACCTCCATACTACACTGCTCCCCTACTGAACTGGGCAGATCTGGGTTTAAATGCCACCTTCACTCCCATTTTGTGACCATGGGCATGTTCTGACAATCCTTGAAGCTTATTTTTTACCAGCTGTGAGTGTTAAACAAAATGACAGATGTAAAATGCTCAGATGAGAGTCAGCCACGTGTCAGCCACCCAATAAACATTAGCTGCCCAATTCCACTTACATCCAACATTTTCTACTATTACTCACAGGAAAACCTCTGTAGCAATGGCTTACCTCTAAAACATCTACTCTTTTGTCATTTCAGTTTTTAATTCACCATACAAATAAACAAACAAAATAACCAAGTGAACAGAACTCTACTTGGTGTAATTATCAAGTAATTGTTTGGAACTCTACAGTAAAGTATACATGAATATTTTTATTAAACCTCTTAATGTGAGTATTTTTCAGTGTCCAGACTTCAAACAGTATTCTTTCTCACATACACACACATATACACAAATAGACACACATATTTTGCTATACTAATATAAAATTACATTCCTATATGACACAAATGTTACATACTTCACGTCTTCATGGTTAGTAATTAAGTGAAACTGTACAGGTAAGGTAAGTTTGAGCACTGTATTTAGGACTTAAGTAATAACTCATAATTGCCAAAATTATGTATATGAGTTTGATTGTAGAACAATGCCAACTGCTTAAATAAAACTTGGAAAAAATAAGAAGTGGATAATGAGGTAAAATATTTGGGAATTCTTGAGAAAGGAAAGAAAATTCACTAAATTAGTATAGAAAGAGTCATTATACATTTTACTTCTCTGATAAATCTGTAAAGGAGTCCCAAAAGCTTACATATTTCATCACGTACCTTCAAGCCAAGCATTGCTCCTGAATCTCGAGGTACACTTCCATCTTTTAGACGTTTGTTTAATAAAATACGACCAATTAAACAATCTCCATCTTTAGATGGCTGCCATGTCACAGGGTGCTGACATATTACATTGAAAAACAAAAAAATTAATGTTTTTTAAAGACAAATGACCCCTTATTGTGCAATCTTTCTAAATTTCAGATTTCCAAAGTATTATGATTACACAAACCAGCTGGCATGCTGACGTTTGATCAAGAGAGCTTACTCTCTTGATCAAACTACATTATGCTTATAACCTCAATTTTATAATCTCAAGTTTTTTCACAAGCAAATTACTTCACGTTCATACAGTGCTCTTACACAAGATTGAAGTTATATAGTTCTACAAAATCTGAAAAACCTTGAAAATATATTCAAATTCTAATTTAATTATATACATGCTGAAGATTAGTAAGTTCACAGGTAGAAAAGACAGACTCACTTAAAAATGAAAATATAGTTTTCAAAGATGTTTGGAAGACTTTGAAAGTCCTTATTACAATAAAAGTTAAAAGGTCAAATTAAACATAAAATTTGAACCTATGATGAGGGCTTTCTTGTCATAGATTTCTAGATTAAAATGACAAAAAATACACAAGCCCCAGGAAGTTTCTAAGTGATTCTGGGAGAAATAGGCCTAATTCAATGGTGAGAATAGATTACATTTCTCACTCTTTGGAGGTTCATTGATTCTTTTAGGTCTTTAATCTATTTAGTAAATTAATTTTAGTAGATACCTCAATGGTATCTACTGTTAAATAACCTTAAAATATTAGGAGTTTATCTCTTTCTTGGGGCAGAACTAAGCCCTCCATAAATCACAACAGCATTCCATTATGAATTACATGTCAAATAACAAAGTAAATGATTTGTGTAATCATAGTTTCACAGTTATTTTAAAGTAACATGCGTATCTTCATGCAAAATTTAGCAGGCAAAAGAGAAGTCTCAGTCATCACATCTATATGGTAATAAGATTTCAAAGGTCTCACTGCACTAATAGCAAAAATAATAAATATGAAAGCAGATGGCAATGGTTCTAATACTAATTAATGCTACATTGAAATGCTGTGACAATAAAACAAAAGAGCAAAATGACAGTGAAAGGGAAAAAAGAAAAACAACTTTTTCTGTGCAAACAGACCCAATTATCTCCCTTTTGCCTGGGATTCAAACTATTAATAATTTAATTTTCATCCCAAGGAAAATATATATAAGCAATCAAATAAGCCAATCCAAAAAATTCTTTGTATTTGTTGTTTTATAATTAACATTACAAAATTATCTCATGCGACCATAGACAAAACATTCCTTTGTTCCTAATTTTTATTTCATTTATTTATTTATTTATTTATTTATTTATTTTTTGGGTATGCCGTCAAACAACAAAAACAGCAAAGCAAGCAAGAAATATATCAATTTGTTTGTTTTGGTTTTGTTTTTCTTTTCTGCACCTTAAGAAATGCTACATTGACCCCTGCAACACCCTGTCCTTTCATTATGTTCTGTTTGAATGAGTGACAGAGAGCAAACGAAGACCAAATGAGCAGGTTAAAAGGCAGGCTCCACAATCTCAGTACCTTATCACTATGGCTATGCTCCTCGTTAAGGGTTGTGCTACTACAGGTATCTACCCCAGAGTCCTTAATTTGAGGCTCAGACCATTCCAGATCTTCTTCCAAAGAGTGGCCACCAAAGTACATCATTTTCTTTTGTCTCTCAGACCTGATGTTAGAGTCCGACAAAACTGCCTGCTCACTAGTTTTTCTTTTTCCCTTTTGACTGTCCCCTACAGGTGTGGGATAAAAAAAAAAGATACAAAAAAGAAAACATGCAAAGGTGTAAATAAAAAAGGAAAAGTGAAATGATAACAGAAATTAAATAGTAAGGCTCCACATGTCTCACCAAAGACATTGGGGATGCCTCACTGCTATGCCAAGACGCATGGTCCAACCAGTTGTAATCCATGTCTCCTGTGAGAGTCAGACGGACAAAAGAGTGCGGTAAAAGGAGACGGCGAAAGAAAGGACAAAGACATTATAAACATTTTAAACTGTGTGATACTGTCTGGTTTCAAGAACTGTGTCTGTAGCACTCACTATACACACCAAGAGAAAGCTTGGATATCAAATGAGTAAAATTTATACAATGCAGAATATAAAGCTTATGATCTCTAAACAGACCCTACAGAACAAAAGTCCTTAAAGAACAGTAAAGGCTAATAATAAACAGAAATCAAAATGAAAAAATTATATATTCTGAAAAAGACTACTGGTTATGTCTGCTACTCCTGTTATATTTTATGCTGGCTTACAGACATGAGTTCTTTTCCAAAGATTAAAGAACATTTTAAAGATTAAAAAGTGGTTTGCCAATAACCACTATAACAAAATGCCAAGTAATTAAATGTTGTTTCTGAAATGTAGTATAATATGCTTTTTTAATGCTGAAACTTCCTAAAAATATTTGAGGTGTTAAAAAAACTGGTTACACACACAAAAAAAAGTTTATATGAAAGTGACAAAACAGATGCACTAAAATTGCTATTGGTAAAAATAAAATAAACTACTTATGTCATAAATTACTTATATTATTTTGAAATAACTTTTCAATTTTCAGAAATTGCACTCACACAAAAAGTAAATTTTCTTTTAAAATAATTTTGTCAGATGATTTGTGTAAATGGCAACTAAGAATGAGTATCTATTTCCCAAAATTATACATTCCTTATTTGCCTTACATTTAGAAAAAAAATTCTTTTTAGCCTATGTACACACATACATACCTTTTAAAACTTTCTTTGTGCTTTCATTGATTTAAAAATATTTACTAAACCCCTTCCATGTGCTATGCATTGTGCTCAGCTCTAGTGTATGGGATAAAACAATGAGATACACAATAGGGTGGTGACAGCAATAGACATGGTAGGAAAAGAAGGAACTGACAGGTGTTCTGGAGAAGAATGGAGTGTTAAGAAAAACTAAAGGGTCAAGGCTCACTCCCAGGATTCTGCCATTAACAACTAAATGTAAGGAAATACCATTTATGAGAGGGAGACAACTGGAAGAAGAACACTGTATTAGAGAAAGAGTAGGAAGAAATTACTCTATTTAATAGAATCTAAGCTAACAGTAAGTATGAGATTCATAGATATTAAAATAAAAACATGCATTTTAGAACTTATTAAACATGGTGATGAATTCTGGATATGTTGTTTGAAAAACCCATAAATTACTCAAGTGGGGATATAAATCAATTGGCTAAGCTATAATAAAGCTTAGATGGTAGGTCTGAGCTGGAGACACAAATGTGGCTGGTAAGCATACAGACAGGAGTAAGTAGGTCGTTTAGAGAGAGAGAATAAAATAAGATATGGAGAGGATCCAGACTGAATTGTAACATTTAGAGTTTGATGATGATGATGATGATGAAGAATAGGAGGAAGAGGCAGAGGAAGGAGGAGGAGGAGGAGGAAGATAAGAAAGAGAAGAAGTGGGAGAGAGTAAGAAAAACACTGAGAGATAAAATAGAATGAGGGAGGGAGATGACAGTCTCAAAACCAAAAAGAAGAGATTTTCCTAAACAAAATAAGAGGAGAAATCAACTATAATGAATGATTTCTATACCTCAGGTACAAAAATGAAGTGAAAAGCATGCATTTGATTTGACAACACAAAGAGTAAGAAAGATGTTAGGAAAAGTACTCTAGATAGAATGATGAAATTTAAAATTAAATTGAAATAACTGAAGAGTAACAGAGAGACAAGAAAGTAGAAAAATGTATATTGATTCATGGTTCATAAAGTGAAATCCCCAAAATAGCATTAACAGAAAATTCATCTTACTGTGGTCCTAGAAGAAGAGAAAGAAAATGGGGCTAAAGATGTACTTGAAGATAAAATAATGGCCAAAAAATTCCCAAATTTGCAAAACATGTAAGCCTACTAATTCAGGAAAGTACATAAACCCCCAAGCAAGAAATACACAAAATAATCTGTGCCAAGAACATCATAATCAAACTAAAAACTAAACACAAACTATGTTGAAAGCAGCCAGAAACAAACTTTACAAGGAGAAAAACATTTCAAATGCTAGTGGATTTTTCATCAGAAACCTTGGAGATCAAAATGAAATGGCACAATATTTTTAAATTACTGATACTAAACAAATTATCAACACTCAATTCTAAATATAATTAAATTATCTTTCAGAAATGAATGAGCAAAAACGAAGTTCTGAGACAAAAAGAAAACTATGAGAATTTGTCACCAGTGGAACTACCCTAAAAGAATGGCTAAAGGAAGTTCTGGTAACAAAAAGAAGGAACCTAGAAATATAGAGAAGGAATAAAGATCAAGGTAAGTAAAAATATAGGTAAATACAATAGATTTTCCTTTTCCTCTACATTATATCTGATGTTTGAAGCAAAAAGTATACATTGTCTGATGTGCTTTTTTACATAAACAGAAGAAATATTTTAAATAACTGCATTACAAATAGTAAAAGATAAAATAATTTAAAGTAGCTAAGGTTTTTACATTTCATTCTAACTGGTAAGATATCAATACCTGTAAGATGTGATAAGCTTTGCATATGTAATATAATACCTAGAACAACCACTAAAAAAAAATTTACCTTTCCAAAGAAATACACTCAGAAACACTACGGATGAATAAAAAGCAATTCAAAAATAAGTTCAAATAACCCAGAGAAAGGCAAGAAAAAAATGAGGGAACAAATGAAAAACAAAAAAGAAAATGGCAAACAAAAAGAAAAACGTAGACCAATATCCTTCATAAATATAGACAGAGAAATCCTTAACAAAATATTAACAAATACAATTCAGCAACAGCATGCAAAAAGAATTATACAGGCTGACCATGTGGGGTTTATTGCTGGAATGCAAGACAGGTTGAAAATTGAAAATCAATATAAGCCATCATATTCACAAGGAGAAAAATCACGTAAGCCTATTCAGTGATGCAGAAAAAGTCATGATTAAAAAAAACAACAAGAAATAAAGGGCAACTTGCTTAAGTAAATAAAGGACATCAACCAAAACCTACAAAGATCATACTTAATGGTAAATAGTGAATGTTTTATATGAAGAGAAATTTCACCAAAAATATACCTTTATTTTTAATGGCTCAAAAGTAGAAACAACCAAAATGTCCTTCGGTGGATGAACAGATAAACAAATTGTGGTATAACCATACCATGGAATACTACTTAGTAATAAAAACAAAAAAAGACTATTGATACATAAAATGTAGTGGACCTTGAGGACAATGTGCTGAATTTTTAAAAAATCACGAAATGTTTATAGTTCATTCATATAACATTCTCTATATGATAAAGTTAGAAATGGAGAATAAATTAGTGGTTATCAGAAAAGTTAGCAATAGGTAAGAGGGTGTTACGATAAAGGGGTAGCATAAGAAACATCTTTGGGCTTCAGGTCAAGATGATGATATAGGTAAATGCAGTACTCACATCCTCCAGCAACCACATCAAAGCGTATAATACGCTACAGAAAAAAAAAAACATCATTCAGAACTGCCTGGAATCTGGCTGAACAGAAGTCCTACAACTAAGAAATTAAAGAAGAAGCCACATCAAGACTGGCAGGAGGGGTGGAGACTCAAATGGGCTGGTCCCACAGTGTGACAGATAAAAACTGAAAGGAATATCTAACTAGCAGAGGTTTCCCCTGAGGAGCGAAAGGTCCCAGTCACATACCAGGTCCCCCCAGCCAGGGTTTCACTGCCAAGCAGTCCCCATAAAAACCAGCAGGGATTGTGACTCAGTGAGGCAGAGGGCTTCTGGAGTCTCAGCAATTCCTTGAAAAGGCCCATGCTCTGACTTGAACTCAGCTCCAGCACTGGGGCAGCAGCCTGAAAGTAACCAGGAACACACAGAGAGGACCTGAATTTCCCAGCATCAGGGTGAGAGCTTCAGGGGATTGGGGGGCAGCTTTCTCTCAGGCAGAAGTGCTGGCATAGATCAATTTCCTTTGCTGAGCCTTCCCCTCACAGAGCCACAGAGCTGGCAGGCAGTACCATATCTCAGTCTCCATCAAACTGTCCCAGCCAACTTTCAGGCCCACCCAAACCGTTTTGAGAAGCTTTTCCTTACAAAGGCCCTCGTTTGCTTCATGCTTCAGACTTTCCTAAAATGTCTCAAACAAGCAACACCTGGCCTCTGCATATTCTGTACCTCCTGTGAAGTGGCCCCAGGCTCAGTGCTAGTGGTAGCGGCGCTGGATCTCCGCTTCGCCTCTCCGCGGCCTCTCAGGGGCATCTCCAAACCCAGGGTACGTGGCAGCTATCTACAGATCCTTCGGTTGGGCGGCCCCAACCGGAACACTGGCAGCATCTAACCTTGCACCTCCAGGGAGGCCCAAGAACCAGTGCATTGGGCAGACAGCTTCAGACCATGCCAAGTTACAACCCTACCATTTCCATGAGCAGCACACTAAAGGGACAGACTCAGCACCAAAGCCCCACTGAAGCAAATTCTGCTCCATACCATCATCCCCTGCACAGAAGCTCCTCTGCTATAGTTTCAGCCAGTCCTCAAAGCTGATTGGCCTGGCAGTCGATTCCTCCCAGTGATGCCAACATCAATCAAGACTCAACTACAACAGGACGGTGTACACATCCACATGGGGGCGCACTTGGAGCACCGAGCTCAGATGACAGGAGGCTGTGTCACAGGGCCCTACAGGACACATACACTATACAAGGCCGCCCTATCTAAAGTCTGGAAGATGTAGCAGCTCTATCTAAT